CTCCGCTGCAATGTCATCGTCGTCCTCTACAACAGTCTCGACAACAACTGACTGGTGTTGGCAGTTTGTTTGTCGTCGTCCTCTTCATTAGTCTCGACAGGATGTTGTTGTTGAACATTTGCAGCAATGTAAGGGCAATTGCACCAGGCCCATAGCCATCAGTGTCAGAAGAAGTCTTCACCACTCTCGTCTCACACTAAAGTATCGTCGCCATCCTCTACTAATAGGGCCCTTCTGCCGCCGCCTCCATTACGTGTCTCTTCCGGGCCCGAGCTTCATCGTCAACTTTCAAGGCCGCTTTTGTCATCTTATCAAATTCAAAACGAGACTTGTTCGAGTCGTCCCAGTGCTCCCAATCAATGTAAAATTCGATAAAAAGCCTGCATTCTCCGAGCAAATCCGCATCCTTGAAACCATACTGATCCCAGCCATCGTCATCTGGCTTTGGCGCAGCGCCCTTGTCCAATTCAGTGGCTAAAGTAGCGTCACAGTCATGCAGCAAGCCATGAAAGACACCGACACCTGGCATATCGGGCAGAGTGCGAAAGCATCTTGCCATTTTCACAAAAAGCTTCCAGTTTTTGTTCTTATCGTTGTACGTCTCGTCAGCCAACATTGCCTTGTATGCTGCACTAGGCTTTTCAAGTCTAATTCCAGATCAATCTTGTCCAAATGGAAGATTCGAATCGACGTGGTAGATTGTTTCCTCGTCAAATTCATCAGGTTTTGGGAAGATGACAATAGCCGGATTGCTACCTCCAGCACCATCTGGACGTGGCCAAGCTCTGTTGGCTCCAAAGGACAGCGCCTTGGCAAGACTTCCCTTGAAGCAATAGAGACCCGACCCAAAGTCATGTGCCTCGTCTGACTTCGATGGGTTCATTATTCCCTCGAGTTCGCATATCTGCTGCAATTTGTTTCCTGTTGTTCCGTGCATGAAATGGTTAGGGAACTGCTCGAATCCACCTTTCTCCAGACTCTTGGTCACTTTCTCGAGTGCCGATTCGACTTGATTTTGCTGCATCGTCACACCCACGTACGATAGCCATTCATGTTCTTTGACAATGCCCTTGTCGTAGAGAGTGCCATTGAAATTGCTGATATGAAGGACTCCACCCTCCTCTTTCGATACTGCTCCAAAAGCATTTTTTGCGTCGAGAGTCGAGATGAGGTGATCCAACGAATCTTGAATTGACAGCTTGCTCTGGAATCCAAGCTCCTTTTGTATGCTGCGAACTACTTTGAATCGCCGCTGCACGACTGTTTCATTCATACCAATCTTGCCACAAAGTGTCGCCGCGTTCTCCGGCTTCATCAATTCCAAAAAAGTGTCTCGGTCTTTTTGCCTCAGCTGAAACAATTTCCATTCAACCTCATCCCGTAGGAACCTTTTGATTAGCCTCGTTGACTTGAACCCTTCAGAAGAATCGCCTCGGACGATGCCAGGGAAGTAGAACTTTGCCAATGTCCACGTTTCTTGGAGGTTGAAAAATGCGTCGTCCTGTTGAGTTGAGGCTCTTGGTGGTGGGCTCGACTGAGGCTCAAGGGTACCGTGGTGAACACCTGTTTCAATTCCACCATCATCTTCCATGTCATCGGTGTTTGCTTCGGAAGCTATAGTTTCACCGTCGATCGCAGGAGTCAAATGATCCTTCTCGGTAGTGCTGAACTTGTCGCCTCCGTACCGGCACTTTAGCAGCCCGTAGACAAAAGGCGCAGCGACCGCCGCTGCGCCCACGATGACCAGCGAAATTGTGGCGGTGTCGTTCATGGTTGTTGTTGAGCCAGGATGCAGGTGCTGATTGCTAATGCTCCGATCGAGATTATGGCGGCCTCACCGTGGAGTTGCTTTTCAGTTCGAACGAGCGTGGATCTTTGGGTGTTTCAAACTTTTGAAGTTAAATTACCCCATCTTGGCTCGGTATCTTTCTACTTCCATCAAAACTCACGATCCTACCGGTACGGTTGCCTCCCGAACTTGAAGCAGCTGCGAGGACGTAACGAGTATCAGTCGGTTTCCAAGGTATTACAACCGTAGTACGGTATCCCTTGCTGAGCTCTCTAGTAGAGCCGAACGGCTAAAAACGGAAGAGCTTGGTCTCGAAACTACATCATCACGGCAATCTGTTGGTTCCGGAGCTCGAGTCATCTAGAAGATGTCGGCGTGAGCATCGTTTTCGTTTGTGCTTTCTGCAACGTTGTGTCCAACATCCTCACAAATTCTTCTGGTTCGACTCGTGTCTTCTTCAATGGTCCATCAATCGCCATCATGGTAAGGTTGCCCAATCCACCATGTTCCAAGGCCATGGCGTTGCGAAAAAGAGTTGCCATGTTACTGTTCCCGTGAACCCCCTTTTGGCAACGCCTGGCTAGTTTGCGTTCCGCGAGAATGTACAGGACTTCCAAGCTCGGGTCCCCGGACGGAACGTGGGCGTTGTTTTCCACGGGACCTCGAACCCTGGTTCGATTCCAATAGTGAAAGTGATAGTTTGAGTGGAGCACCCGTGCCTCCTCCAGGGTAGTTTGGTCATCCGTCAACAACAGAATATTGTCTGTCGGAGACACCTTGCCTCTACGCAAGTACTCCTCGAGTCTGTAATAGTTCCGTATATAGTTCCGTTCCGTCATTGAATCCCCTCTACGCACATGGAGCCAAACACACGGCGTTGGCACCACTGGTACATTACCGGACTGCAGAAATTGATACAGACGATGGCGCAACGCTTGTCGAGGTCTCATGGTGTAATGAGACAGCCACATGTTCTGTTCGGCCAGAGTGTCGTTGTGAAAGACTTCATGAAAAATGTGTTTTTTCTTTGGTTTGTCGTCTCGATCCCCTTCAATCGGTGCAGGGCAGTTGGATATTGGCAAGAAGTAGCACTCTTGGTTTTGCGCTGGACAGTGTGCCCATGACGATTTGGAAGTCGGGACGTAGAGCCACCGAAAACCTTGATACGGCAAAGCAACTTGAAAACGGCGTCCTTGTCGAAAGGCACTCCAAAAGGCATTGTTGATATGAAACAACATCAGTGCTGCAAAGCCCATATCTTGGACCTTTCGAATGGCAGCTTTGCCACAAGTTGACGTGTTGTTGTCAAACTGCAAGGCATGGACCTGCCGTAAAAAGCTTGCCCGCAGCGGGTTGGCAATGGGTCGAAAACACGTGTGGGTATCGTTCTCAGTAGAAACGTCCCAGTCAGGATGATCCTGCCACCATTCATCCAAACTGATTGCCCATGGGGAGCACTTTTCATCTGGAAATGCCGGGATCCTTCCGTCTTCCTCAGATAGAGCAGGTGCAGAATCCTCGTCGCTATCACTGTTGTTCTCGCCGCTACTTTCATGTTGCACTGCTTTCAGACGCTGGGGATTAGCGCGTTTCGAGCTCGTTTCGATCATAGTACTTGGTGGTACCACATTGGTCGGCTCCGGTGCGGAAATTTCGATCGCTCCGATAGGTTCCTGCTCAGCATTGGAGGCGTTTCGTGGTGGTTCCATAACCGATGGTAACTTGCGCTGCAACGTTGAATCGTCCTTCGAGATAAATTCGTTCAGAAGTACTTTGTTTCCACCTGAGGTTCTGTTTTTGTGGGTCTCATTTCTTCGAAAGCGTCGACCGTGCTCCTTGCCTTGCACGGCAGCACTTTTCTGTTCGTGACGAGGACCACCAAGAGGCTCGAACATAGGGGCGTCGTCGCTTTGGTTGTTCATGGTGACAATGGCCACCGGTTCTTGAATGATCTGTTGGATTTTGCGTCGGTACCGGTCCACGTGGTTGGCATTGTTGAGTACCCCCCACAGCAGCAATAGCAATCCCGCCACAGTCCAAGCAGACACTCGATTTACACCTTGGCGATGAATGCTACGGTGACTGTTGGTTGTGACATTTGTGGTCCCACGCATAGACGGGATAGCCAATGGTGGTTGAGGATAGTTTCCTCGTCTTTCCGGCAATGCTTGTGTCGACTGGCTTCTAGGCTGCTCGTTTTCGAAGGCCTTGCGACCGTCTCGGGATGGATGTGCTGACAGTTGAGGCATAATCTCGAAGCAATTGATTCAATCCTTTGTAAGCCAATGGATGTACACCAGCAAGCTTCTCATTGTAATCGATGCTATCAGTGTAATCCGAAAGTAAACAAAAAAACCATTGTGCCGTAGCAGCAGAGTGATGAGCAACTGGCAAACTTTGAATGCACACAACTGGGTGCTCGTGATCGATTATCTGGTGTTACGTCGAAGGGAACAAACCGCTCTGATGGCTTGAACTCTTCAGTTCTAGAACTTCATACCGGCTGCTCCTCGTCATCGACGTCATCCGGCGAAGGGACCACGCCGCATCGGTTCAGCACCCCAAGGATTGGACAATAGCTGCCCGGCGCGAAAAGCACGTTCTGCAATAATATTGCAGGATCAACCTCAAATCGTTCCCAACTCATCATTTTTCGACAATGGCCAAAAATGCCGTCGAATCGGGTGTTTCCACCCTTGTCCTGCTACACATAGTCGCCCTAGAGCCTTGTGTGTTCATTGGGTGCTTTGGTCTAATGGATGGATGTCAAAAACAGCAGACTTCTAGCGTGTTTTGGGCTTTGTTCGAACGTTTTGTTGTTGTGTGTTGTTGTTGTCGGAGGTTTGGGAGTCCGCCGAGCTCATGATCATTCGTGGAAACCTTAAATCGTTTTGCAGTGCCGGCTGGCGCCTAATGTACCTCATGAACCGATGTGACGCACCACGAAATCGCTCTCGGGAAACCATAAAACCGAACTGCCCCTGGCACTCGTCCATCGTGGCCAATCCGGGGCGCCAAAAACTACAGAAACAAAGGAGAAGAGCAGGACAACAATAAGGTTGCCTCCACTAGCTAGCTAGAAGTCATGTCCAAACCCTGCACCAACAGCTGCACCAACCGTCAAAGAGATTCATTAGTTGATAATGGCGATGATGACTTTGATATCCTCCAGATTGTTCAGATGCGGTTGCAGGGTAACTCAATTGCATCTCAAAGCTTTGTTCTGCCGAGACAGGAACGACATGTGCACGGCAATAACCAAACTGAACCGTGCAGTTCAACAACCACGTCTGCTTATACACCACCACCACCACCACCACCGCCACCAACACCATCCGCTACCACAAGTAATCAGGATGTTTCAAATCAAAGAGATAGATAGAAGACAAAGAGGCCACCAAGTGTCTTGAGCTTGTTGAAATTGGGCGCCATTCAGGGCCAGAAATACAGCAAGATGCTACGACTTTATTGGCAGAATGCCAAAAAACAGAACTTGAGCCTGAAACAACTCCAGCACAACCTCCACGACCAAGGATTCCTGGGGCCTATGCCGTTGAAGGATTGGGGACTGGTGACGAGGTGGGGCATGTCACTGAAGCCGGAGAAAATGGTGATGATGTTGTTGCACATCCTGTCAATGAGGACAATGATCTACAATCAGGAGAGCTACAGAATGCAGAGCCTCTGATATTTTCCAGACGGACCAGAATCTATTGGAGACAAAGGTTGGTCCTGTTGCTTTCCCTTCAAACTACGGTGGCTCTTGCTGTGATTGTAGTGATACTTTTGGTAATTTTAATGGTGTCTCTCCCGAGAAACACAGCCATCAATCAATCCGCAAGCCAGCAGGATGGAGCATTTCAGATATCCACATCTTCAGGGGTAGCAAGTCAATCGCCTAAGACATTTTTGGTTTCACTCAATCTCCCTGACTACACAATGCAAGCTATGGAACGGCCTCAATCTCCTCAGTCGAAAGCCTATCAATGGCTGATCAAAAACCTCAATAACCAGAGCTCCAGTCTTCAACAACTACCAGATTGGAGACTGGTGCAGAGATTCCCTCTGGCCACATTCTACTATTCTACAAGAGGAGACCATTGGGTGAGCATCATGGCTGGCTGGACTGGGACACAAATGAATGCGACTGGGAACTTATATTTTTGTGGGGCAAAGTTGACTCACCAGAACTGCACTGTAATGACAAAGGAGAAATCAAAGGATTGGAATTTGGGCATACCAATAATCTTGAAGGAACACTTCCACCCGAGATCTCATTATTGGGCAACAGCTTGCAAGCACTTGGATTCCTGCGAGAGTTCCAACTTGAAGGAACGATCCCAACAAAGATTGGACTCTTGACAAAACTAACAAGGTTAGAATTGGGTGCAGCTGCACTTTCTGGCACAGTGCCAACCGAGTTCGGATGTCTGCAGAGTTTAGAGCAACTCGTGATGTCGTCTGGCTCTCTGCCTTCAGAGCTTGGAAAACTGGGCAATTTAACAATCTTCAAAGTGGTCAATACAGACCTAACAGGTTCGTGTGTCTGGTGCTTCTTTCGATCTGAAGCTATCTGAAACTGCTGACAAGCCTTATTTTCTCCACTATCAAAGGATCCCTCCCTGTTGAAGTCTGCCGAATGCATCAGCTAACCCAGATAGTTGTGATAGGCAGCCCTGGACTATTCTCTGAGTCTCTTCTTCCAGAGATCATTAGGAACATGCCAAGACTACAATTATTAGTACTCGACCAAAGGAAATCTGGTGATAAGATGCCATTGCTTTGTAAGGAGCAATGCTTGAGTTTTGTTTCCTGAGTTTTATGTTGACTGACATGAGTTTTAGCTTGGTTTCTCTGCACAGCTGAAATTGGCATGCTATCAGAGCTAGATAACCTGCATTTGGTTGACTGGAAAATAGATGGCACTGTTCCAAAACAGCTTGGGCACTTAACAGATTTGGTGAGTTCTATGGTTGTCAGAAGTGATTGTCTAAATAAATTTGATTTTGAGGACTCACAAAAAGTTCCCAAACTACAGAAGTTTTTGACCCTCAAGGGAAACTCAATAGCAGGAACTATGCATTCTGAACTGTTTGATTTGACAAGTGAGTAGTATGTTGCAAAGTAGTTGAAATTTCCAGATGTTGTTTTGTGCTTCTCTCGTATGGTTTCTTTTCCTTTCTTTCCTTTCAGATCTGATTAGCCTAGACATCGAAGCCAATCAAATGAAAGGGTCACTTCCCCGTATGCTCTTTTCCAAGTTGACAAACTTGCAATACTTGCGAATCAATTAATAACAATCAGTTCTCTGGCTCGATTCCAACCGAGGTTGGGCTTCTCTCCAATCTCAGGAAGCTACAACTGCAAAATACCTATTTGTCAGCTACTTTACCCATCACGGAACTTCTTGCTATGAGGAATTTGACAAGCTTGGTAGTCGCAAACACATCATTATCAGGCAGCATTCCGGAAGAAAATGTGTGGCAGAATGGATCAGCAGAAGTTGCAGTGCTTTGGTGGACAGTGCTACGAAATGAAGATTGAAATTCCAATCTGCCAAGCGACTTTCATCTGTGGTTGCAACTGCACCGGATGCCGCTCTAGCTAGACATGCCTGAAGTGGACAATGGACCCCAGCATCGTCCTCTGGGATGTTACTCTACTACACGTACGGTACCGGTACAAGCAGTTGCAATTCACCGCGACAGCGTAGTTCTTACCCGATCTTTCGAAGAGTCTTCGTAGCTCTGCTGGCTCCAGACAAGAAGTCTGGGATGAACCAATGACACGCTTGTGAATGTTATAGATGCAAAGACTGCTCTCAAGCATCTCTTCATTCTAGCTAGCTAGTTCATTTTCTCAAGATACGCTCTCCAAGCACTG